TTATATTTATTTATATTTATATTTATATTTTATATTTATATTTATATTTATATTTTTATATTTATATTTATATTATACATATTTTTTATTATCTAAAACTCAATTCATATAAGAAAATGTACACGAAATAATTATAATTTTTGTGAGTAAAAATAACACGAAGGATATTTATTATATTTTTATGCAGATAATTAGCGATATTATTCATGTATGCATGAATAAAAAAGAGCTCGTATGTAGAGCTCTGATTCTATTTAGGTTGAAATAAGAATATAATGTACATGCAAGAGACTAACGTAGAAGGTAGTAATGCAAACATTTCTCACTATTAATCATATTAATCTTATTACCATAATTTATTTCCACAAACTAAAGATATTTATTTTAATGCAAGATAACATTATACAATTTATTAAATTACAAGAAAGACATCATATGATTTACTAAGCTTATGACACTCCATACTAATAAAACCGTAATAACCGTTAACAAAGAGTAATGGTAGACCTTTAATCTGAAAGAAAAGAATCATTGTAAATATGGTTTTACGAAACACAAAACAATAACTTTTAGATAAATATGCAATGAAAATTACTCGCCTCCTATATTTCTCACGTCCTTTCTCTAAGGTTTCCATCGGATCTTTAATTAAATATAAGCGCAAACCAGGTATCATATTCTTGAGATATAATTCCCACTCCAAGTTATTCATATTGAAATTGAAAATCTGGCGATCAGCTGGAGTCACACGATTCCAGAGCTTTACAACAGCGTCATTGCTGAATCGCCATTCTTGCGACGAAAAGTATGCTATTATAGAGCTAAAATGGTTTATCTTCTTATATGCCTTTAATAGCCTAAAAGTTTACAACTCTATTTAAAATCCTGCTAAAATATTCACAATAATGTTTTATTATGCTTTTAAGTAAATTCCTTACATGGGTTTTCGGCCAATAAGAAAGAGCATAGTATCGACTATAACAGCGGGTATCATGTGTAGAATTATCACATACATATCGTGCATAAATTTATATTTGTTTAGAAAAAACATGTAATACCAAAGAACATGTGTGCTTGGTACCTGCATGCCGTACAGTTCATTTAATTTCATAAATTTCTTCCAAGTAATGGGATTTTGGCATATCGACACGTAATTGTAAATCGGAACTCTCTCAGTTTCTGGAATATCCGGATTTGCATTCTCGATGCTCAACAAAGTATTTCTAACAAAAATAAATGTATAATATATATAAACTATACATAATAATATATAATATATAAAATGTATAATATAATTGTAAATGATAAAGTATCTCATATGCATTATTCTTATTTTGTTATTTAGATTAATATTGATATAAAAGTTATAGAAAATGAAGTGTTAAATCTTATAAAATTATATAAATCCTTAGAAATATTTCCAACATTTTATTTTCTAATTCGATTTAACAATTGCTGAAGTTCTTGATCTCTATTAATCATGAAACTTTTTTCCTAAGATGAAAAGTGAAAAATGAAAAATTTCTCCATTAACTTAAAATTTTCACCTTTCACTTTCCATCCTAGGGAGTTTCATAATTAATACCCTATACATGTAGCGTATTTATCTAAAATTAAAAGTAAATTTTATAAATTAAAGCTCTAAGGCATTACAGCTTAAAAAATGAATTTAAGAAATTAGATAATTTAAATTACGTTTGTTATGCAATTTTTTAAAATCAAAACAAAAAGTAGTAATTGTTGTTAACAATATATGTACTTATAAGGCTGCTGCATTAAAGTTCTTGAATACTCAGCTGTATTGAATTGTCATAAGCGAGAAATGACACGTAGTATTTTATCGATCTCATTATTCCGTTTTATCCAAATTGTCTTTATTTACAAATAGAATGCAGAAAAATCAACGTGTTGCTTATGACATATTTCTCTTTTCTAACATCACAATTCAATATTGAGATGAATATTTAGGAGCTTTAACACGACATCAATAACATAATTAACATAATGATAATATATTAATGCATTTATCATTATTAAGATATTATTGATAATATTATTAATAAAATATTATTGATAATATCATTAATAAAATATTATTGATAGTATCTCATATTTGTGAATCAGCGACATACAATAAGATTAATTAGGGAAAAGAGAAACATTATATTGCGGTACTCGAAGAGTGTAAATTTTTATAAATACGGCTTCTGACTGTACGATATTTATTTTTAAGAAGGACTTAAGTATATAATTTATTTATATATGCAATTAGATTTAAATTTTATA